AAAGATCGTACTGCGTCTGCAACAGAACATCCCGTCATCAACGACCAGGTCGAAGAGATGCTACACCATGGCATTATTCAACCATCACACAGTCCTTGGGCATCTCCTGTCGTTCTAGTTTGAAAGAAGGACTGATGCATCCGCTTTTGTATTGACTACCATCGATTAAATCATGTGACGCGGAAAGACATCTATTCATTACCGCTCATTGACGACACCCTTGACAACCTTCAAGAAGCCAAATTCTTCTCCTCCTTAGACTTACGTTCTGGCTACTGGCAAGTTCCTATGGCAGAAGCTGATCGCCAGAAAACTGTATTTATTACGCCAGATGTTCTGTACCAATTTAAACGTAATGCCTTTTGGGCTTTGTAATGCTCCTGCCACATTTGAACGACTCATGGACAACACACTGCGTGGACTGAAGTGGTCTGTGTGTCTATGCTACCTCGACGACATAGTCGTCTTCCCTCCCGATTTTTCTACCCATATGCAGCGGCTCCGACTAGTTCTGACGTGTTTAATCGACGCCGGGCTCCAACTGAACCTCAAAAAGGGCCGCTTCGCCGCGCGAGAGCTGTCCATCTTGGGACACATCGTGTCCAAGCATGGTGTTCTACCTAGCCCTGCTAAACTCGCAGAGTTTCCGAAACCTGCTACGCTCAAAAGAGCTGTGCAGTTTCGTCGGACTATGCTCTTTTCCGGTGCTTCCTTCAAAATTTCGCGTTGATCATGTCACCACTGACCAATCTCCTACGCAGTGACGCAGACCTTTCCTCTTGGTCTCCTGACTGCGACATCCCATTTGCCACGTTCCCTCGTCTGCTCACCTCTCTTCCACTCTTCGGCACTTCGACCCAACCGCTGCAACGGAAGTTAACACAGACGCTAGCGGGGTTGGTCTTGGCGCTGTCCTACCCCGCGTAAGCCGAGCTACTCCGAATACATCGCTTATGCGACTTGCAAGCTCACTAAAGCTGAGGCCTATTACCAAGTCACTGAATACAAGTGCCTAGCTCTAGTGTGGCTACTTTGCAAGTTTCACCCTTATTTGTAAGGTCGCCCGTTCGACCTGGTAACGAATCACCATGCACTCTGTTGGCTCACCACATCGGAAGACCCTTTTGGCCGCCTAGCCCGCTGGGCACTGCGAATCCAGAAGTATGACATTCGCATCATCTATCGCAGCGGACACAAGCACTCTGACGCCGACGCCCTGTCCCGTTCGCCTTTACCTTCCGACTCAGTCTGCGGAACCACTGGTACCAACTCCGTTGCATCGCTCGACCTTGACTTCTTTGCCAGCGAACAACACAAGGGCCCGTGGATCGCTTCCCTTTTTGACTGTCTCTCTGAATCGTCGAACACTGCAGTGTCACAATCTCTCCGACGTCAAGCTGCTCATTTTGCCATTCGTGATTGGCTGCTACAACGATGCAACTACGCCCCTGAATGTCGTGAGTGGCTCTTGGTTGTCTCCTGCAGCTCGAGCTCACAAATGTGTGGCTCCTTCCATGACGATCCGCAATGTGGCCATGCCGAAGTTTTCAAAACTTATTAATGCATTCGCTGTCGCTTCTACTGGCACGGAATGTATAATTTTGTTCGAAAATTTATGTGCTGCCCTGACTGTCAGCATCGTAAATTGCCGCCTTTCCATTCACCCGGTGCGCTTCAGCCGCTTCCGTGCCCTGCCAAATCTTTTGATCAGGACGGAATTGATCTCTATGGCCCACTATCGATAACATTGAATGGTAATCGGTGGATCATAATCGCAGTGGACCATTTAACATGCTACACTGAAACCACCGTCCTTAAGTGCCACTGCACGGGATGTAGCGTCTTTTGTCCTCCGTCGCTTCATACTTCGACATGGTGCACCTTGAGAACTACTTAGTGACCAAGGTCGAGCCTTTCTAACAGAAGTCTGTCACAGCTCTACTTTCCGAGTGCCACGTTCTTCATCGCAAGACCACGAAATACCACCCTCAGACTACTGGGCTCTCAGAGAGATTTAACTGCACTCTCGGCGACATGCTCGCGATGTATGTGACATTTGATCATGCTAACTGAGACCATATTCAGCCATTCATCACATTCGCATATAACACCGCAACACAGTCAACTACCGGATTTTCACCTTTCTTCCTCCTCTATAGACGCGAACCTTCCCACACCATCGACACTCTCCTTCCATACCGTCCTGACGCATCCGAAGCTGCCCGACAAGTGGAAGAGTGCTGCGAACTCTCGCGTACCTTCACGTCACAAGAAAAACAGCGCCAGAAGGAAAATAATGCCAACTCTCCAAGAAGCTGCAGCTATTCCCCGAGATCTCTTGTATGGCTGGCTGTTCTTTACCAAACCACTAGCCCTCCCTCAAAACTGGCTCTAAAGTACGAGGGTTCTTACCGCGTTTTGGAGCAAACCTCCCCGGTGAATTTTCTAGAGCCAGTTTACCTATCTGATGACATACGCCGGCGTGGACGTGACATTGTCCACGTAGCCCGCCTTAAGCCATACCATAGCCCTCTGCCTCCAGACTCTAAGGTCTCCAGGATGGCTCTTTTTTAGCGGGGGCAAATTATGAAGAAGATGCATCATTGGCAAGCAGCATTGCTAGTGCTTGGGTACTGGGCTTTTGGCTCGGCTCGCTCTCCTTGCGCTGATGGTCGCCGGCATCTGCCTGAATGCTGCTCTGCTCTATTTTGATTGCATATTGTTCGTGCAACCGTCATTGCTGCATGCGTCAATGAACTTCTTCTCAGAACTAATAGGGAGGTCGGCATAGCGTCGCAAATTAGTATGTAGCACCAGAATGTCTGTTGTAACCCCGCTGGGGTGCCTGCACAAGCAGGCGTTTGATGTGTAGCAGCACCACAGACCCGAGCTAACGGGGGGCTTTGACCTCTCCCGCGCCTAGCCGTGTGTGGCTGTGTCGTGTCTGGGGAAAAGGGGATCCCGGTGGTTGAGTCAACACCAGGTGATCAGACCTTTAAGGTCTCCGGGCAGAGGCAACACACTTCTTTTGCCCTGACTTCACGTAGACGGCACCCCTGGATAGATCCACCCAGGGGAAATTAGCAGTCGCCTCTTTCTATCTCTCCCCTCTACAACTTCGTCTTTATCTCTCACTTTTGGTCTGTCCTGTCTACTTTTCTCTTCTGTTTACTTCCAATTTTCCTGGCGGCAAGAATTAACCTTATGCAAATAGTCTACCTTTGTCTCGGCACATTGGGTTATGACAGTGTACGGATGGTGCAAGCTTTCAGCATCCGTAATCTTGCAGCATCCTCTTGTCGGGCTCCGTGGTGGGTGGCCGCCAACGCTGCTGAATAAAAATAAGACCGGCATGCATAGAGCATTCCCCCTACTTACTGATCGTACCAGCTTGAAGCGGGTACACACCGGTGACATCAATTTTTTCAACCAGCCAATAGAAACATTTCCTCACTTCGACGTCATTCACTGTGAGAAAACTGGAAAGCAAGCCAAGACATTATCTTCTTTTGTAGTTGCCAGGTGTCTTACCGAAACTCTCGGGGCTGGATACAAGGTAACCAAAATGGCTAGCGGAGACCGCCTCCTCGAAATTCAAGACAAAGAACAATTTAAAAAGCTAGACGGCCTCTCAACTTTCGGTGGCATACCGATCACCATAACACCGCACATATCAATGAACATAACTCGCGGAGTGGTATCTGACGCAGACTTACTTGACCTGACCAAAACTGAACTTTTGGAGGGGTGGAAGAGCCAAAATGTGACTAATGTACAGAGACTTATCATCAGAAGAGATAACGAATAAACACCAACATTTAATACTCATGTTTGCTTCCAGTAAACTGCCAGAATCCATTCAAATGGGGTACACGGAGACCTCTCTCAGGCCATACATACCAAACCTTCGTCGTTGCTTCTAATGCCAGAGGTATGGCCATGGCTCTAAAAGCTGTCGTGGTCGCCAGACCTGTGCACAATGTAAAGAAAAGGGTCTTGCCATTCTATATCCCAACATATACTGATATGGTGCGTCAGGGGGCACCACCGCACCAGTCCTCGCCACTCCTTCGGCCCACGCACACCAAGCCGGCGATTGTGGCACCTGCCCCCAAGGCGGCTGTAGTCCAGACTACACCGCCTACTCCCAAACAGAGACCGGAGACTCCAGGGTCCTCAGCTCTTAAGGCCTTGCCTCATCAGGCGAGGCCCAGAATTCAAACTACCAGCTCGCACGTGCGGGAATCCAGTGCCTTCAAGCAGACAATGGATACATCGGTACCCTTGGTGCCAAAAGAGTGGCGTGGCTCCTTGGAGCGTGCCAAGAAAACAAAGAAGCAGATAACGGGGCCTGGTGCCGGCCCTGTTACTTGAACTCGAACTCCCCGCCTAAACAGCCACTCGTTTTTTGTACACACAGCACTACTTCACACTCACCATGAACACTTGAATTATACAAAGGAACGTCAGGGGCCCTCTCAGAAACCTTGACGACATCCAAGAATTTTTACACGAACACTCACCAAAAGTGCTGTATGTACAAGAAACACACCTCAATTCAAAACACACCAACTTCCTTCGTAAATACGTTATTTTCCGAAAGGACCATGATGATGCCATGACATCATCCGGAGGTGTTGCCATTATAGTGAATCAAGGGATTGCATGCACGCACTTCAACTCCAAACGCGCCTTGAGGCAGTGGCTGTTTGAGCTGTTCTTTTTGATAAACTGATCATAATTCGCACTATTTACATTCCTCCAAGCTATCAGCTACAAAAGCATGACTTACAATCTTTAATTGATGAACTTCCGGAGCCTTATGTTCTCCTTGGAGACTTTAATGCACATAGCGGGCTGTGGGGTGATTCTCACTGCAACGCGCGAGGCAGACTTATTGAACAGTTTCTTCTCTTGCCGAGCACGCGTCTTCTGAATCAGAAAGAACTAACATATTATAATCTCGCTAATAATAGCCACTCTTCCATTCTTCTTTGCAGACCTTGTCTATAGTACCTCTAGCAGGTACATGTGGATTTCATTGACCATTTCTGAATACAACACCAGCGACACCTTTGCTGCTAGAGCCAGTGTATCAGGTAAGTTCTGGTAGCTTCTTTACTTGTAGTGTCTTTTATAACAGAGCTTCGCCGCCAGGCGTCACTGCTGGTGCCACCACTCTAACTATGATGATGATAATTCTGGGGATAAAATGCTCGTGAGCACAACGCCACCTATCGCTCGACCGCTGTTTACCTTGACTGCGGCCTTCTCACCGCACACGTGTGTGCAACAAGGCGCAAAACGTATTACCTCTTTATAAGAGACCTCGGTATAATAAACAAATGGCTGTAAGAAATGCCAGTCGGCCTCCATTAAAATAGGTGTTGATGAGAAAATGAATACAGTACCCTACTCATAAGAGACTCTTTTTATTTATTTATTTTTTTTATTGTACCCTCAAGTCCTGAGGGCATTACAGAGGGGAGTGGTGAACGGGAAATTATATAAACTTAGGTAGTAAATAACAGGACAAGAACGTAATACAACAGTACAATAAAACAATAGATTAGAAGTAGCATTACATACAATGTAGTTAGGAAATGCCTTGCAATAATAATATGAACAAACAAGGTAACTTGACATTAATTGCTGTTTATACAACTTTACGACAGCAAAAACCAAATGTCATGAATTCCGAGTGAAACAATGTTAGCTATAGCCTTGCGAAAAAGTTTGTTACCAATGATGGTGACTATGTCGTTGGGAAGGTGGTTTCATTGCCGAGATGTTCTAGGGAAAAAGGAATGACTGAAGGTGTTGGTATTTCCTGCTTGGATTCCGACTTTGAAGCGACGGTCTGCACGGTGCGACATGTAATGTGGCTGTGAAATTAAGTCATTTTGAAGAAATGGATGATGGTATATCTTATGAAATAGAGTTAAGTGAGCTATTTTTCTCCGTGATGCTAGTGATGGAAGACAGGTTAGCTTTCATTGAAGCTATGCTGGAAGTGGGTTTATAATTGGAATAAATGAAGTGAACAGAATGTTTTTGAAGGAGCTCTAGAGAGAAGATGAGGTTTTCATTGTGTGTGTCCCACACTGCTGCAGGGTACTCTAGTTTGAGGCGCACTAATGACTGATAAAGTAGTAATTTCAAAGATGATGGGGCGTTTGAAAATTTGTGACGTAAGTAGCCATGCGTGCTGTTAGCTGTACTGATGTATTCAATATGAAGAGACCAGGTTAGGTTTGAATTTATATGAACGCCTAAGCATTTATATGAATTCGCAGGATCTAAGGGGATATTTTCATATGGTAGAACGGAAGGGTGGTAGAATTTCCATGAACACGTAAAATTTTACATTTGTTCATATTTAGTTGCATTCCCAGATATTACACCAATCACTTATAAGGTTTAGATCTGATTGAAGAGCATTAAAATTTTCAGTACTGATTATTTCATGGTAAATTATGCAATTATCAGCAAATATGTGAACATGAGGTGTCAATGTAGATGGCAAATAGAAGTGGCCCTAGTATTGATCTTAGAGGCACGCTGGAACAAACTTCAGTTAAAAGTGAGTCGAGATGATTAGCAGTAACAAACTGATGGCGGTTACAAAGAAAATATTCAATCCATTTCAGTATGTTACTATCGAGGTTCAAAAGACTTAGTTTGAAAAGAAGAAATTGGTGGGAAACTTTGTCAAATGCTTTACTGAAATCTAAAAACACAGTCAGCAGATGAGGCGCGATCTAAAATACAGTGTAGTCCATGAGTAAATGATATTAGTTGCGTTTCGCATGAGTATGTTTTATGGAAACCGTGTTGAGCTGTGGTGAAAAATGAGTTGGAGTCGAGGAAGTTAACCAGGTTGGTGAAAATTACGTGTTCCAGAAGTTTGCAACAGGTGCTGGTCAGTGAGATCGAGCGGTAATTCATGGGCGAGTTATTGCTGCCGGACTTGTGCAGAGGAACCACCTTCCCTATTTTTCATTGCGAAGGAAGATTAGATGAGTCTATGGATTGCTGAAAGGTTTTGGTCATATAATGGAGCTGAAGACGCAAGTGCTTTTTAAAAATTTGCTGTTGATGCCGTCGAAGCCCAGAGCTTAGTTAAAATCCAGAAGTTTGCAACAGGTGCTGGTCGGTGAGATCGAGCGGTAATTCATGGGCGAGTTATTGCTGCCGGACTTGTGCAGAGAAACCACCTTCCCTATTTTTCATTGCGAAGGAAGATTAGATGAGTCTATGGATTGCTGAAAGGTTTTGGTCATATAATGGAGCTGAAGACGCAAGTGCTTTTTAAAAATTTGCTGTTGATGCCGTCGAAGCCCAGAGCTTAGTTAAAGGGTAATTTCTTAATAAGTTTAGCAATGCCAGGTGATTGAACTGTTACAGGATTCATGATAAGATAGTTGCATGCACTAGTGTTTGGTAGGTGAATGTTGCTTGAAACCGAAACATTATTGGAAAATGCATTGTCAAGAGTGATCGCGCAAACGTTACTTGGGATTATGTTGCCTTCTGTGTCTTTTAGAAGGATAGTTCTATCGCAAGGGTGGTTAATGACGTACCAGAACTTGCGAGTGTCTGTTTTTATCATGTCTGGTAGTGTGTGGGTTAGGTAAAAATCTTTAGCCTCCTTTAGGGCAGATAAGTATGTACCATTAGCAGTTTTATAAGTTTCCCAATGTGTTTGATTAGAAGACGATTTAGCTGAGCGATAGAGCAGTTTATTTTTGTTAGATGCTTGATGTATGAGTTATACCAAGGGGCATGTGTGTTGGAAATGACGGCACGATTAGGAATGTATTTTTCTGTCAACAGACATACCTGATCTGTAAAAGTACACCAGTTATTCTCGACTGAACGAGTATCAAATTCGATAAAAAAACTGTCGAAAAATGAGCCCACTGAATTGTTACTTGCCTCAAAACTAGCTTTTTTGTAATCACGAATAATTTTCTTAAGCTTAGTTGTTTTAGGAGTGCTAGGGTTAATAGCAAAACTTGTTAAAGAATAATCACTAATATTAGGTAGAAAAGTTATAGGGAAAGCTAGATCTGGACGATTAGTTAAGACTAAGTCAAGCGTGCTCGCAGTGCTGGAAGCGACTCTGGTCGGCTGGTTAACGAGTTGAGACAGGAAATACACGGAACAAAGTTCGCAAAATTCTTTCGCCTGAGATGAAAAGGGCGTTATACAGGGTGGTTGTGTGTTTAGTTAAGACTAAGTCAAGCGTGCTCGCAGTGGTGGAAGCGATTCTGGTCGGCTGGTTAACGAGTTGAGACAGGAAATACACGGAACAAAGTTCGCAAAATTCTTTCGCCTGAGTTGAAAAGGGCGTTATACGGGGTAATTGTGTGTTCCACAACAGGTTGGAAAAATTAAAGTCACCGGGTAAAAACGAAGGTGATGAGGGAAACCGAGAAGAAACAAGGTTAATAGCATCATGTAAATTGTCAATAAAGGTGGCAGGTGATGAAGGCGAGCGATAGCATATACCAAAGATTATCTTAGTATGACTGAGTGTTAGGCAAGCTCATGTGCATTCAAGATCAGTTTTAATGTCTATATGAAAAGATGGAATATTCTTTATAAATGGCGAGAACGACACCACTCCTTGGCGCTTGGTTGCGGTCACACCGGTAGACAGTGAATTTAAAGGCTCCATAAAATATATCACAAATATGCACATGTGCAGGAAGTCAAGACTCAGTAAGGGCGACGATTTTCGCATCGCACGTATCAATTGCTGATGACAACGAAAAGAATGTGTTGACAACACTTCTTGCATTTGTAAAAAGAATGGGCAGGAAAAATGCGCCTGCATGAGGCGATCGGCCACTTCTCTCATCGTTTTGCTATTGTGCCGGACATCATGTATTAGCACGATTTAGTCACCTGTTACATTCTGAATCAGTTCATGGACAGAATCGCTGCTAGCGTCGTACACGTAGCATTTATTGTTCAAAAATAATTTATTATAACGAAGCTTGAAGTTGGAAGAGCCAGACTGGGCGGTATTGAATTCTAAGAGTTTTTTGTGGGCGGTGCGGGTAGGTAATGAAAAGTCTTTGCCAACTGATAGATTTCGTTGCTGAAATTAGTGTCGCTGAGCAAAACACTTTTTCTTGTTATGAAGTGCGAAAATTTTGCAATGATGGGGCGGCACTTGTTAGGAATGAAAAAACAGAGACGATGTGCGCGTTTTATTGCGCCATTGCGAAATCAATCGGAAACTAATATTATTCCTGTGATTAGCTTGGATTCGGTTTCTCGCCGTGATTCTTTTGTGTCAGGAATACCACGGAATATAAGATTATCACGGCGTGACCGATCTTCAAGTTCAGCGAGACGTGAATCAAACATGTCTAAACAACAAGCTGTTTTTTCAACCTGAGCCAGCGTGAATGCCATATCTTTCGTTAATTCATCGGCTTTGCATGATTTTTCTTCGAGCAAGTCCAAGCATTTTTGAAAACCATTAATTTTTGTCTGGGGGGCGAATGGGAGCATCCAGTGACAGTGCCAACATATGATGGGTGGCGCGCAGTCGAGCGGCGCAGATGTGCGTGTGGCGGGTAGAAACGTTTTGAATGGCACAGGAACGCTTGATAAGCAGGACGACCATTCGAGGATGATCGTGAACAAGGCCTGCATAGCGAAGACAAGGTGGTTATAGGCATGCAGTTGTAAGCACTGCTTTCATGTCCACAAGAGCAGTGCTTACAACAGCATGCCTAACCACCTAAAAAACAAGAATTGTTCTCTGGTGCATGTCTTTTATAAAGGGTTCAACTTTTCTTGAAATGTGTGTTGCTTGCAGGAATGAAAGCAGCATCACTGGCTGTAGCCATGTGGGCATGAGGAAAAATTCATATAGCACAGGCATTTCCTCTACAATTGCAAACTGACATGATGAGAGTTTACTGTGTCACTGTACACAATTAGCTCAGGCCGATGGGCACCGCGTGGCAGCCGGTATCGTGTTTCAGTGAATCAGCTTCAGTTCTCGTAGTCTAGTAGACTGTTGTACTAATTTGCACCCAGTATTGGTAAAACTGGATGAGCCATGTTTACTGTCGAA